ATACGTCGATCTTGATTTTTTTTATGTCCTTCTGAGCTTGAAACGAGTGCCAATATTTTAGTCTTCCTGAAACAGTCAAGAAAGTCTTCTTTCATCTGATAGATATTGCGGTATAGAAGGCTTACATCCTGCATAATAAATAAAAGAAAAATCGTCCGAAAATTAAACGTTTTTCCCAAAATGATTGGCAAGGAAACGGTTGAATATGGAATCGAAATTTTGACTCCACTTTGGGCCGCCATCGTTGAAAATAAAGATGATAAATTTTTAAAAAATAAATTTGATTTAACATTTTTTTTTCTATATCCTCTTTGGTAAAACGTCATTACTTTCCGAACACTCTAATAGTTTATTCTTTAATACTAATATTCTTTAATTCTGATATTCTTTAATTCTAATATCTTTATAATTAAATTCGACCAAATATTCTCGGAGTACAGAATTCAGTTTAGAGAAACTAAATTAACATATATGCGACTTAAATTAACTTTGGGTCGCTGGCATCAATCTCATTCAATTCTGTGAGTATGCCTCTCGTATTTGACAGTTTCAAACAAGAGAGACGTGGTTCTACAGAAGGATGCTGAGAATACCATAGACGTTAAACGAGAGCAATGAGGAGGTTTTAAAGAAAATGGGAACAAAATGACACATATGCTTATGATCAGAAAGAGACAGTTGAAATTCCTGGAACACGTTATACAGAAAGGGGGCTTGGAAAATTTAGCACTTGAAAAAATATCAACAAAAAACCCAGAGTCCCCGGCGTAGGCGTGTATATACGTTTTTACCGAAAGTGTCCTTTTCAGACATGGACCATCACATCTAAAACATTACGTTCAAAAATCACAACGACAGACGTGTTTATACGTCGATCTTGATTCTTTTTACGTCCCTCTGAGTTTGAAACGAGTGCCAATTTTTTAGTCTTCCTGAAGCAGTCAAGAAAGTCTTCTTCCGTTTGATGAATATTTGCTGTATGGAAGGCTTACATCCTGCATAATAAATTTAAAAAAATCGTCTGCAAATGAAACGTTTTTCTAAAAATAATAAACAAGGAAAAGGTTGAATATGGAATCGAAAATTTGACTCCTCGTCTGTCCGCGGTCGTTGAAAATGAAGATGATAATTTTTTTTTTTAATAGATTTTACTTAACATTTGTTTCTATATTCTCTTTGGTAAAACGTCATTACTTTTCGAACACTCTAATAGTTTATTCTTTAATACCAATAATCTTTAATTCTGATATTCTTTAATTCTAATATCTTTATAATTAAATTCAAATAAAACACTGCGTTTTCGTTGATCCTCTGAATGCAGAATTCAGTTTAGAGAAACTGAATTAACATATATGCGATTTAAATTAATTTTGGATCGCTGGCGTCAATTCCATTCAATTATGTGAGTATGCCTATCGTATTTGACGGTTTGAGGCAAGAGAGACTTGGTTCTACAGAAGGATGTTGAGAATACTATGGACGTTAAACGTGAGCAATGAGAAGGTTTTTAAAGAAAATGGGAGCAAAATGACGTATGATCACAAAGAGACAGTTGAAATTCCTGAAACACATTATACAGAAAGAGGACTTGGAAAATTTAACACTCACAAAATATACTGAAGGAAGCAGGGCCTTAGGGAGACAATGAATAACTTACCTAACAAATTTATATGAATAGATATGAACTGAAACAATGAGGTTTAGTAAAGAGTCTATGGATTTACTCTCCTTGTCTGCCAGGGGACTTCTCTTGATGACCGCTAGGTGGCATTGTATGAAGTAGTAAAATGCACAAACCTTCTCCCTCATCTTTCTTCAACAACAGGGTACGTATTGGCGAGACATCTCTCGCTTCCTCCCTGGAGAGGGCCTTTCAGTCCCCAGGTGAACTACGTGTCGCAACGCATGCTGCATAGTACACTAGCCTCTGTAAAAAAAATAAAGACATCACATGATAGCTATAATATCGCCACTAAAATCTTTAAAAAAAATAATCCTATTTAATAAACAAGACAACGCCGCTATAAACTGATGATTCCTGTAAGAAAGTGGTAACCTAATTTCAAAGAGACATATTACCCAATCAGTTTCTCGCTCACAGTAGAAAGTTTGTTTAAGAATGGATTATATATATATATATATATATATATATATATATATATATATATATATATATATATATATATATATTATTATAGAATTAATTATTATAACCAAGGTTCGTTGTCAAGTTTTTGAATTCTCCTATACTTGTATTTTGTTTGGCATTCCATCTTACGTAACAGCATTTCCCTAGCGAGGGGTGTTTGATTGATTTGAACTTTTTAAAACCCTTTATTCTACATTCAACACCATCACTTGATAAGACAACAGAAGTGGTGAAAGAAAATGGCTATTTTTGTAGTGATTTTATAACATTTATGTTTTAATTTTCGAATATATATATATATATATATATATATATATATATATATATATATATATATCACTCTTCTTTCTTTCTTCAACCACAAGATGCGTAGTGAAAAGACGTTTCTCATTTGCCTTCTGGGAGGCCTTTTCAGTCCCCATGTAAATCACGTGTCGTATCACACACTACACAATACACTTGTTATTATGTAACAGATACATAGATTTTATAATATTTGCATACAAAACTAAGTATAAAATAGCACAGAGAGTAGAGAAAACGTCCATTCTTCAACGCACTTCTAACGTTCTACTGTAGGTGAGAAAGTGACTGACAATATGTTTCTTTGAAGGCTTGTAATGACATTGGGCTACAGTTTGTTATGGGAATCATTAATCTATAGCGGCGTTATCTTGCTTGTTTAAGAGGATTCATTTCTTGCACTGGCGAGAGGGAGAAAGCGATTAATGCGATGGGTTTTAGTGAAGATATGGCTGTCGTATGATGCTTTTTTCCGGACAGGAAGTAGTGATTAGTGCAGTATGCGATGCGACACGTAATTCCGCTGGGAACTGGAAAGACCTTCTAGTTGGGAAATGACACTACGCATCATCTGGTTGAAGAAAGTAAGAAGGAGGAGAAAGTTACAAGTTTTGCTGAAATGGATTTTTCTCTCTTTCTTCTCTATGATATACTTAATTATATATATATATATATATATATATATATATATATATATATATATATATAAGCGATTATATATATATATATATATGTTTGAATTTTCCTATACTTGTATTTTGATTGGTCATTCTAGCTTTTGTAACAACGTTTTCCCCTTGCGAAGGATCGTTAATTAATTTGAAACTTTTAAAACCATTTATTTTACATTCAACATCATCACTTGATAAGACACCGGAGGTGTTGAAACAAAATGGCTATCTTTGTAGTGATTTTATAACATATTTATGTTATAATGTTTTTAAATAAATAATTATATATATATATATATATATATATATATATATATATATATATATATTATAAGATAATTAAGTAACGGAAATCTTGGTAAACCCTACGTAGATCTCTTATCTCTTTACTTCCCCCTTTTTTTCCTTTTCCTTTTTTCTTTTTTCTTCCTTTTCCCATATCATTTCCGTTAAGTTGACCGATTAAATAGGTTAATCTCTGATCCTTACCCCCCCCTCCTTCCTCAATATTAGGTATTGTAATACAAAGAAATATTAAGATAAAATTTAAACTCTCCCTTCCCTCTCTAATCTGGACCATGTCTCTCACACCATTACTCATCACCCTCTAATTCAACTCATAAAAGCTTAATACTGCCTGTCAAAAGTGTAAATTTTAAATTCATTTTTTCGTTTCGTCTTTGAAAATAAAGTCTGAGGATCCAGAGAAAAAGTAAAATTATCTGGTGAAATAAATTATTACAATGGAGCCTTAAAGTGGTCTGTTTTTTCTTTTAAATTAAAATAAATTATAAGATATATATATATAAATTATAAGATATATATATATATATATATATATATATATATATATATATATAAGAGATTAAAAGAAAAACATGTTAAAAATCTCTACACAATAAATTCCGTGTTTCGACACTAAGCTGTTCGTCTTCAGGAGATCGTTATTTTTGTTTTTATCTCGCATAATAAATAATATAAAGCACTATTATATATTGAGACCTTTTTTAAATCAAATGCCACGGACAGTGGAATTATATTCCATTTGTTGTTATGTTATACCTGCATATATATATATATATATATATATATATATATGGGAGGTGAAGCAAAGTTCACGCTCAATAGGGGTTAATGCATAAGTCGAAGAAGTCCTGTTGAGTGGCCACCGTGGCCAACAGAGCTTGCTTTTGTCTGTGGCACCATTTGAAATCAGTTGTTTATCAGAAACACCCTAGAGACATTGAGGAACTTAAAGAAAGATTTAAATATGAATGCAGTAAAATCACAGATGAAACTCTCCGACAACTTAATGAATAATACAGACACAGAATTGAAATGTGTTTTGAAAAAGGGGGGGGGATATTTTGACCAGTACATATAACAATTAAATAACTAGTACATAATATATTCATATGTAATTATACATTTTATTAATTGCCCCTATGATAAGCGATTTTTCCTTCACCTCTGTATATATAATCGATGTACGTGTTAACAGATTTTTTTCTAAAATTGTGAACATTTTATAATTTTGAAACTCATTGTCTTCATTTCAACTCAAGCGTTGCTTACAGCTACAATGGACATGAAGTTGGGGAGAACCCTGATTACATACGCCCTGAAAATACACAGCATAGAATATAAAATAAATATGATCGTGTGTAATCGAATTCGTCGTGGACGAATTTTTAACAAAATGTTGAACAATTCATTAACGGTTCTTGCAAAATTGGCTTCCAAAAGCAGCCATGACAGTTGAACCACGCAAACAAAAAATGATTACTGTTTGAAGCTTCATAAGGCCGAAAATCTTTCTAAATTATTGGACAGGTAAAGACCTTTGGTACTTACCTCACAGGCACCATTTCTAGCAAATGATCGTTTGGCCGGAACAAGCCGTGGTTGGAAAAGGTATGGGCGACTCGCGACTACTTGAATTTACGTCGTAATGGAGGAAGTGGATATGGCGGTGCTGGGTGAAAGTTGAATCAATAAAAACAATTCTCGCTCTTTCGCTCATTTCCGCCCGAGTCTGGTAATTTCCCGCCAGAAGCAAACACAGCAATTCCAAGGCGATAGATGTAAGGTTTTGTCATCTTTCTCCTCTTTCTCTCTCTCTTTCTCTTTCTCTCTCTCTCTCTCTCTCTCTCTCTCTCTCTCTCTCTCTCTACTCATCTATTTTATTTTTTCTTTATTTCTTTATCCCTCCCGCTCTTTTATGTGTTTTCCTCTCTAAAAAACCACGATTATATCTCAATCTGTCCATACTAACCGATATTTTTATTATGTCTGGTGATATCTATCCGCCAATGTTTCTATCTGTCTATCTTTATTTCAGTCAGTTCATATCTATCTATCTATCTATCTAACACAGTCTGTTCATCTGCGTCTGTTTATTTATCGAATTATATATCTATCACCGAATTTTCCTGTCTGCCTATCTATCTATCTATCTATCTACAATAATCTTTTCATGTCTATCAATCTATGTATTTATGTCCGTTTCTATCTACCTTTTCTATCTGTTCGTATCTTGCTATCTTAATCAGTTCCTATCTACCTGTATGAGTATATATGACAGTCTCTCCAGATCTATCTATCTATCTATCTATCTATCTATCTATCTATCTATCTATCTATCTAACACAGTCTGTTCATGTGTGACTGTCTATTTATCTATGTATGTATTTATCACAGACTTTTCTTGTCTGCCTATCTATCTTTCTATCTGCCATAGTCTTTTTCATATATATATATATATATATATATATATATATATATATATATAGATAGATAGATAGATATAGATAGATAGATAGATAACTAGACTCGTTTCGAAAAACCCTCGAATTTTTGATTTGCTAATCAAATCAATCTCGAGGGAAAAAAAGGTTTTAAAAAAAGAAGGAGCTACAAACATGAAAGTCAGTCGAAAAAAAACTGTACAGATGCAGGTTTGAAGCCCAAAGAAAAAACCCCGATACGAGTAAACAACTAACTAACAAAAGAGCTCAATACAACCGTAGAGCAGACCTAGATACACCTAGTGAGCCAGACAAACCTACCTAGGTTTCACCTAAACGGATCGTCAGGGAAAGTTTGGCTAAATTCTCAATGTATGTAGACATAAAAAATATATATATATATATATATATAGCCACCCACATACAAGCCTGTTTTGCTATATCACAGCTCATAAGTGTGGTTAGACATTCGATTGTTTTAAGCCGGGATGGAAACCCGAGCGATTTGTATCAGTCAGAGATCCTACTCCTAAGCTATGTATGTATGCATATATATGTATGGGTAAACAAATACGAGTATACGCATATATATGTAATCATATATGTGTGTGTGTGTGTGTGTGTGTGTGTGCGTGTGCGTGCGTGCGAGTATATGTATATTCACATTAAGGATTGCTTACATGCTTACTCTATGTGTGTTTGCTTATATCAACAAATTCTTCGTTCTCAATCTTTCGCCGCGCTCTCTTTTTTACAGATATACATACATACATTCATGTATATATATATATATATATATATATATATATATGGTGGGGGAGTGTGTGTGTGTATGTGTGTGTGTACGCGCAAAAGGGAGAAAGAAAGATAGGACCCCTCACTCTTTTCCCATTCTCTTTTTCTTCTTCCGATGTATTTATCTTGCTCTCTTTTCATCTGTTGGTTTCCCTGTGTGTTCCCATCTCATTTCGCAATGTCTGTCTGTTCATTTCTGTCCATAATTCCCTGACTCGGAATGAAAGCCGATGAAGATCTGAACGGAAGTCGAAAATAAAAATAAAATAAAAAATAAAATTAAAAGAAATAAAAATAAAATAAAATAAAAATAGAAAAAAAAAATAGAAAAACAAAACCATAGGTAAAAGGTGAGCAGAAATTAAGATTCGTCATTGATCCTCAAATAAATAAAAAAATCCGGAACCAATACAAGAGAAAAACTTTTATTAACTAAAGCCGGTCACTAGATTTATCGCTTACGGCGAAACCACACAGAGAACACCGGTTTTCGTTATATATACAAAGTTAAGCAGTGTCAGGCCGGTCAGTACTTAGATGAGGAACCATTTAAGAACACCGTGTACTGTAAGCAGTCTTCTTCAATTCCAAAATTCGTTTCGGCTCTAAATAATCCACAAAACGTTGATAAGCCGTAAAACAAACAAATCTATTTATTGATCAAACAATATGGACGACTTACTCTAAGATAATGGCTACATTTTCTAACAGAATAATACTACTGTATAGCGGTTTTAATCCTTACTTTTCTTTCTTTATGTTGAGGGCTTCTCCCCTTTTTACACAAATGGACTCACCCAGTATATACATATACTACAGCTACGTGAAGACCCGACAGAGCAAGACCGAGGAATCTAGCTGTCGTGATACAGTCTTTGACTGTAAGCGACGTCTGTCGAACTCTCTGCATTAGCAGAGGGGAACCCGGATGAAGCTCTCCCGAAGGGCAAGGTTTCGTTCGGGGAGGTAGACAGGGCCTGAATCCGTCAATGCGGTTCTAAAAAGGCTATATTTTTGGCCGAGCCTACGGGCTCGGGGATACCCACACTAAACCGGCCGTGTGCCATATTCAATCCTTGTGGGTGGGTTGATAAATAGCGAGCAAGACCGAGGAGTCGAGTCCAGAGTGACAGAGTAAAAGGCTGTAAGTAACCGGAAGAGGGAGAGTGAGGTAACAGCGTTGTAGGAGTCACAGTGAGCGAGCACGTAGACTCAATAAGAAGTCATACAGCGATACTTCAATACCAAAGACTGTATATATATTTTGCTACTAACCCGTATTCCTGGAACTACTAACCTGCTTTACCAGTTTGTATTATTACGTTAATACATTTATTTTCCTATATTCATTCTTGGCGTTTGTTATTTATTGGCACCAGATTTCAACGCGGAATCCACAACACTTTATTTTTAACAGAATTTCAACGTCATTAGCGTTATTTAATGACATTGCTTATCAACCCTTTACAGGTTATTTAAAGCCAGAAAATACTTTTAGATTACTGCTATCTTAGTAGCAAATCCGACAGACCTGACAAAGTAAATCTGTCAACTGCTCTTTAGAAGGACCTCCAATCAGGGTCAAGAAATCGTTTGTAAAATTTCCCCCCCCCCACACCAAAAAAAGTTTCTTTCATTTAATCACCACAGATAACCTTTACATGGCTGATGCTAAGCTCCGGGAGAGCAACACTCTACGATTTATTGGCCTCGCGTTTTTCACAGACTTTAGGTGGAGCGTCTATATCGAATCAATTGCTACATCTACTGCTAGGAAATTTGGTTCACTGTGTCGTGCCAGAGCGCTTTTTTTCTCGTCAGAATCCATCTTGTACATTTATAAATCTACCATTCGTCCATACATTGAATATTGCTACTGTAAGACAGAATGCGTAATCAGCAGTAAGAGGAAGAGCCCGAAATGCGATTTGCAGGTCGAGAACACTAGAATCAATAAGACGCGGAAGTTTAAATATCTATGAAGCGTCTTGACAGAGGAGGTAAGTGCGACATTGTGATCCGTAGAGGTATTGGGATAGCCAAGGACACATTCCAAAAGCTTGTCAGAGTATTGCTAGACAGGAGGATTTCTTTGGTAACAAATAAAAGAATACTGAGTTGTTACGTGACATCTGTCCTTCTTTACGGCAGCGAATGTTGGACGGTCTCCTCAAAGATGAAAAAGAGACGCGAAGCGACATAGATGTGGTTCTACAGAAGGATGTTAAGGATATCGTGTATCGAGCGTATGAGCAACGATGAGGTCTTAGAGAGAATGCAAACAAGGAGGAGGCTTATACTTAATATCAGAAAGGGGCAGCTGAAGTTTCTGGGACACATAATGAGGAAGGAGGGCCTGGAGAATCTGACACTCACAGGTCAAATAGAGCGAAAGAGAGGCAAGGGAAAGTAGCACGTGACATACCTGACAAGCTTGAGCAGGTGGATGACAGAACGAGGTCTGGGGGAGGAAGCAGAACGAAAGAAATTGCTGAGAACTGTATATAGAGGGAGGTGGAGAGCTGTGATCGCCTACGTCCTTAAAGGATATGGCACATAAAAAGAAAGAAGATCTGGTCTGCTGCTTCTACAACTCGTGATCCTTGAGAAAATTCTAGAGAGGGGTCTGTAATGTAATCGATCCTGAACAGGCATCTCGACCTCTGAACCGACTGTTCGGTTGTACTCTCTTCCTACGGACGGGAGGAACCCAAAGGAGGCTACGCCGAATTGCGGAGTCTCCTTCGGGGAGGTAAAACCGGCCCTGAACCCGTTTATACGGGTTCAATGGGCTATTTTTTGGCCGAGCCCACGGGCTCGGAATGCCCACCTTAAAAACGCCTTGTGCCACATGACACCCTCGTGGGGGGGGACTGAATATCGTCAGTGAGAAAGTGTCCGAGTTTTCTACAAATATTTTTATGACAACTGTTCTGATGAGCCTTTTTTTTCCTGGTGCTCCGTCTACATGAATTCATGCGTGCTACTAGATTGGCAACTAGGTCTCACTGTTTTAATGTTGAACTAGCTACATGCAACCACCACTTTCTACTCTAACAGTTTCTTTTCTCGCACTTCGCACCTGTGGAACTCTCTCACGATTTTTTTGCTTTCCTGTTAACTACAATCTATCTTATATATCTATAAGTCCACCATTCATCCTTACTTTAAATATTTCTGCCACACATAGACTGGCGCTCCTGTTATATATTTAGATATTCTTGATAAAATCCAAAGCAATGTTATTGGTCCTGACCTGGCATGTCGGCTTCAGTCGCTTTCCCATCACCATGACGTAATGAACTATGCAAGGTTGGGACATTCAACTACCTGAGGTATTTGATATATACGTATACCTGTTTCTCACTTGAGTAGCCTAGGCTTGAACCCTTGATGGAAGAATATTTCATTGATTGATTGATTTCTTTTTTACGGTTTATCAAACATTTGCATGTTATTTAAAGCCAGAAGTTAATTTTAGATTTGAAAAAAAAAATAATGGTTATTGATACAAGTCCTACTAATTAACCCATAGTTGGGGGAGAAGTGTTGGGTTCATAACTTCCCCAAGGGTATTTTCGCGTAAGTGAATATAACGAACCCGACTGGAATTGGAACTCGACTCTTCCGTGCCAAATCTGAACCGCTATCCATTACACCACCTGCACATCCAAGCTTACAGCAGCTGGTATTCGCAAACTGTCACCAATCTAGATACTGACCAGGTTCGAAGTTGCTTAACTTTGGGGATAGTACGATATTCGGTGTTTCAACGTGTTATGGTGGCAATCCCAGGTTCTAGAATAAAGCTATCGCTAAATTGTGCACTACAAATGAGATTGGTGTATTTTGACATGACTGGGTGAAATCAAACGTGTGGCTTTCATAATTCTAGGGTAGTGAGTTCGATCCTTACTAGATACGTAACAGTTGTGGTTTTCTGCAAGACAGGGGTAAATTTCTGAAATACCTATATGCCACACTTCACCATCAAAATAGCTGCAAGGAGGCTCGCATCGCAGATGATTTGGAGTTCGATCCACATCCGATGCCCCCTACATATATATATATATATATATATATATATATATATATATATATATATATAT